TGGTCTCAATTTCTTCAACAAACTACTGGTGGCCTAGTCAAGGATGCACTGGAACAATCGCATCCAATTGAGGTAAAGAACAACAAATACTATTGCTCAGTGTGAAAACTGCTGAAAACAGTAGTGTCTATGTATGTATATATATGGCACAGTAAGAAGTCAAGGAGCAATGGAATATAATAGTTTCACTTGAATGATCAGAGTGCCAATATTTATCTTAACATTGATCCTGAAAAAAGAAAGAAAGGGGAAACTGCTCCATGCAGCATACTTACTCCTGTCTCACATAATTTCAGGTGGAGATACACCATGCTCGTTCAATTCTTGAAGTTTTTGATGATATCAGCTATAAAAAGGGATCTGCTGTTATTCGAATGCTGCAGAGTTATCTTGGGGATGACATATTCCAGGTACAAAACCAGGTTAAACTATCCAGTCGAACTATGTAATCAAATAATCCATGGCAGACAGGGGTTGATCAAGTTTTGTACCCTTATTGATGCACATAAGTACCAATTAGTTTAATTTTTCATGCATCACCAATAACTTCAAGTTTTCATAGTGAATATTGTGTGTGGAAATACTTTCTTGTCACCAAATGCACTGCTTGAAATTAGCCTCGAAACCTGGGAAATTTTCTGAAATGCCATGTGCAATCTAATGCTCAGTACTGAGCAATTTTTTTCTCTTAAAGTATAAACATAAACCCATGAAAACTGCAATTAATGGTTTTTTTTATCTCATCAAGTGCCAATGTACATAGTGTTCTGAACAAAAAGGTCTGAATGGCAAAGACAAATTATATTGTTTATTCTGAAGTCGTTCTAGTTTGCAGTTCATTATAGTTTACTCTGTAATGAGTGAAAAATTATTAACTGTGCTACTTCATATTAAATCAGAAATCGTTAAGTTCCTACATAAAAAGATATTCTGGAAAAAATGCGAAGACGGAAGATTTATGGAGTGTTCTTTCGGAGGAATCTGGTGTCAAAGTCAGCAAACTTATGTATGCTTGGACAAAGAAAAAAGGATATCCTGTTATATCTGTAAAAGCCAAGGAGCATATTTTGGAATTTGAGCAGGTACTACTGATCAATACCAAAATCTTATTATCTGCAGAAATCTAATGAAGTTTTGTTTTGCAGACACAATTCCTGTCATCGGGTTTGCAAGGTGATGGGAATTGGATTGTTCCAATAAATTTTTCACTTGGTTCGTACGACAGACACAAGAGTTTCCTTTTGGAAACAAAGTCCAGAGAAGTGGACATTTCAGATCTTGTTGATTCCTTTGATAATGAACAACTGTGGGTGAAGATTAATATCGACCAGAGTGGTTTCTATAGGGTCAATTATGAAGATAAGCTTGCAGCTCGACTTAGGAAGGCTATTGAGCATAATAGCTTGGAAGCAACAGACAAGTTTGGTATGTACTATGTGCCACTTACTATTTTAACTAGAAATGATTTCGCATTGTCTTATGCATCTTGTATTCATTGACAACCGGTTAGTGTTATATGCTTGATTTGATACTATGGTGCTTCATGCTTTGGTGGATGTTATCTTCACTAGGCAAAGTAACAGTAACTGCACTATGATAACTATTAAGAATGGGCTTGTCCTGGTTAGCATGAAAATCGGCCAAATTAATAGGATGAATGATAAGCCACCTATATTATAGTTTATTCTGTGGATTCACTTCTTAGATTGTTTACTTGGTTTTGTGGCACTATAAACCACTCATGACCAACTAATGTATAACTCCACGTCTCATTTCAGGCATTCTGGATGATGCATATGCTCTCTGTGAAGCTTGTGAACAATCACTTTCCTCTTTGCTTTCCTTGATGGATGTATACAGAAAAGAAGTTGATTATATTGTCTTAACAAATTTGATCGACGTAAGGTTAAATTTCTGTATTTATGTTGGTGATTATCAATTACACCAACTATTTATGGTAGCATCACCTTTTGTGTTATATATCCAATAGGTTTGTTATAATGTCGTCAAAATCTCAAGTGAGGCCATCCCAGATTCAGCAAATGATTTGAAACAATTTTTCATCAATCTCCTTCTGTTTCCAGCAGAGTAAGAACAACTCTAATACAGTTTTAATATGGCAATACCTTCTTTGTTAAACTTATTGGGTTATATACATGCTAAAATGAACAGTGTTTGTCCTTACGATGTATTCCAGTCTCTTTGAGGTCATGGTTGCAGTAATGTTCCGGTTTCTGTGGCTGATACTCCGTTTAGGATCACCAAACAAAACTTTGATGCTACCATACTTAGATGTCATATCTGAATTTTTTCATGCAGAAAACTAGGTTGGGATTCAATACCTGGAGAGGATCATTTCAGTGCACTTCTGAGAGCAGAAATCTTGCAGGCCTTGGTTATCTTTGGCCACGATCAAACTCAGAAAGAAGCATTAGACCGTTTTCAGACATTATTGAATGATAGAAACACTCCACTTCTTTCAGCTGACACAAAAGGGGTAATTAAATCTTTATATGTATATTACATTCTCATCCTTATGGTAGGCATCTTCAAAGATAATATGTAGAAGTTCCAAACCTTGTCCTGCAGGCTGCATACATTGCCGTGATGAGGAATGCTAGCATCTCAAATAGGAAAGATTTTGAGTCTCTTTTAAATGTTTACAGAGAAGCCAATACAGTGCAAGAGAAGGAAAGGATTCTACGTAAGATTTTGTAATGGTGAATTGAAATGCATTCTTTGACATTCCCATTCCCTGTGTCTCTTGTTTGGGTGATAGTAACTTGGATTTCTGCATTATGTTTTGACCTTGTGCAGGTTTTTTGGCATCTTCTCCGGACCCGGATACAGTTCTTGAGGTTCTTAACTTTTTCTTATCGGATGAGGTATTTATTTGCAGTACTAAATTGTTGCTTGAAACACCTACACTTTCTTTGCCAGTTTTACAGATGTTTCATCTCAACATATTATTTTCAGGTTCGAGATCAGGATATTATATATGGACTTTTTGGTATAAGCTTAGAATGCCGTGAAATAGCATGGACATGGTTGAAGGTATGGATTTCATTCATTCTTGGAAAGTGGAAACATGTTTTAGATGAATATCACATCAGTCAATACCATATTTGGAAGTAACTGGCATTTTGAATTGGAATTAGGAAGCCCCTTCTACTTCTGAAGTTCACAATTTGATGAGTTCAAATTTTTGGTTATGAATGCAGGAGAACTGGGACCTGATTTTGAGCAAATATGGTGCTGGACTGCTACTCACCCATTTTGTACGAGACATTGTGACACCGGTAAGCAAATGTATTTCTGTCCTGGCACTGTTAGGCAACTGGACTGGACCTTGTAAAACAAGGTACATTTTCTGACTCCGTCGTCCATTTTGCATTACTGATAAAGTCTTCACTGGCAGTTATGCAGCAATGAAAAGGCTGATGAGGTTGAAGAATTTTTCGCAAGCCGTGTGCATCCTGCGATTTCTATGACTTTGAAGCAAAGCATTGCGCAGGTCCGAATCAAGGCGAGGTGGGTTGAACACGTAAGGCAACAACAATCTGTGCAAGAGCTAGTCAAAGAATTAGCATGCAAGAAATGATTGCCTGTCACTCGAATAAGTTGAAACTTAAAATATGTCAATTAATAGAATCTGTACTGCTTGAGGCTTGAGAGTTTGCTTGCCTCTAAAGATGCCAACTTGATACAAAGCGATTAATTTGTTGGTCAAACACAAACAAATCAGAGATTTTCTTAATTGATTTCTAACAAGTTTCTTTCACTTCTAGCTTACTACTTCTATACTACATTTATTTGCAACTTGATCGGATTCGGATCAAAATCCGATCCATTGACAGCTCTAATTGCATGCCCTAGTTGACCAATGTTCCAGAGAAAAACGTGTCGAATAAGAATTAATTATAAGCCGCCTTGTTACATCGTAATCAAATACATCATTAGCATTTACTTAAATAATTTCATGCCCAAAAGACAAGTCACCTCTTGAAACACACTGTCTGCGGTGCAATATCTTTAATGAGTTAGGTCAAGTTATATGCCTTGAATTAGGGAGCGTTTAGTCCTCGTTCTAAAAGCAATTGACCATAATTCAGTTTTGTCATCCAGCTGTCTAATGCCAATGATGTAGACCAACAATTATTTTATGTTTTTCCGGTTGAGGTTCACTCTAGATTTTACTATTAACTGCAGACGAGAAACTGCAACATCAGTTTGATGTATTAAGTTGATGTCTCTGGTGTAATTCATACAAGAAAATGGGCAACAAAATTACACTGATTTGCTTGAGGTTTTGTGTACTTGTTTTTTCATTGGATTCCACTTGAAAATGGGCAAATGGTCTCAAGACAAATACGTTAGCGTCCAATTTGATAATAAATTGACTCGTTTGGGATTGCTTCTCTATGAAGCATTTATGTTCATAGGTGTTTTTAGAAAGAAAAAAAAAATGTTTTTGTTATAAAGATGTTGAAATTTTAATGAAAAATTGAAATACTTCTTGGAAAAACACTTGCGAGTGCTTTCTAAAGAATCACATAATAGGTTCTTCTCTAAAAAGCACTTTTAAGATTCAAAAATATTTATGAACTTTTTTGTCTAACATTGTCAAAAATGTTTTTGATTATTTTTTGACAATCCAAAGACGTTTTTAGCCGTTCTAGAAGGATTCCAAACATGCATAATTGTTACAGTTACATACTTATTCCAATGATGAGACGGGAAGCTCGCCTCCACACACGGGTCAATATTTATATCTGTCACACGCCAACGGAGACCCATTACATCCATGCACATACATGACAAAACCACACAAAATTGTATGGCAAACAACCAATTAATCCAAATAAATAAATAAAAATTGGTACCAAATCTTGAATTCCATTCCCAATTCCAACACTCAATAAAAGAATTGTACTAACCACCAAACATTACATACATTAAAAATTCCTATGTAAATGTACCTCTCTATTCTCCAATGTATATGTCAGAAAACAACTCAAATCCACAAATTATATATCTACCTTCCTCAACCTCAATATCCATACCCATGTAAAATTAAAATAAATAAATAAATGAAAATTAATTGGGAAAAAAATAACATATTTAGTAACTTGGGCCTTCTTCTCCTTCTCTTGTATCTGGGCCAAGATTGGACCTCCCCCTCACAGAGTTCATCTTCTCCAACCTCAATCCAGCTCTGAACCTTGCAATGAAAGTATCAGCTTTGGTGTTGACATCTGGGCTGGGGCAGAACATGGCTTTTGGCGACTCTCCACTCTCCAATGGCGTCCTGTTATTTTCCATGGTTGGTGATGAAACTGCTGAATCCGGATCATCCCCATCGTCCAAATCAGGGGAGCCACTGCGTGAGCTGTTGTTGCTTTTGATCCTCACAAAGTCTCCGTGCACCACAAATTTCATCTCCGGCATTCTAAACGGCGGCAATGGCGGCGGCTGAAGCTGCTCACCTTAACTGGCAATGGCGGCTTTTGGGTCGTCATCATGGACCTCATTTGGGCCTTGGTTTTCGATAACTGTGCCGTCGAAGTGGTTGCCGCCACTGGAGGCGGCGGCGGCGGTTGTGGAATTGACAGCATTGTCTTCTTGGGTTTGTTGGATTTCTTTGAGGAAAACAAGTTGTGAAAGACCGAAGGTGGCGGTGGTAGGGGTGGAGGCGGGGGCGGCGGTGATGGCGGCGGAAGTAAAGAGTAAGGAGCTGAAGAAGCAGACGCGAGGAGACTCTCGAAATTTTCAACACTCTTTTGTCTTTGCTTCTTCTTCTTCCTCCTCAATGACGTGATCAAGAATTCTTTTGTAGTAGTCACCCCTCTCTTCTTCACATCTTTCCCAGCCGATTTCGATATCCGCGGTGGCGGTGACGGCGGAGATGGCGGCGGTCGGGCCGGGGGCGGCGGGAGATTGTTCTTACCTTCCGAATTGTCATTTCTCTCAAGGCTTTGAGTAGAACCCGAGTTTTCTTTCTCTCCAATAGCTTGGTATGTTCTCTTGGACTTGCGCGTCGTTGGCGGCGCTGGTTGGGACGAAGATGGTGACCTCCGCGGCGGCGACGGCTGCAGTGGCGGGTCAGATTGAGCAGCAGGGACTTGTGTGGGGGGGGAATTAACTTGTTCCGTACGGATTGCACAAGTGTCA